TCTCTCGCTCGCTCTCTCGCTCGCTCTCTCTCTCTCTCTCCCCCCTCTTTCTCTCTCTCTCACCTCGCCACCTTACACTCTAGGACCTAGAGTCTAGGTATTCCTGTGTTCTTGCCCGCGAAGCAGTAATCGGAAACAGACTGCTCTGCTCTTCTACCCACAGCCACTATAAAAGTGCAAATATTGATTATTTCGTCCGATAGATGGCAGCACGTTGTCAGTTCTCTACTATGATGCCGAGGTCGGTCGGTCAGCGGCTAAAGCTTGTCAGGTGGCAGAGTGAGAGCAGAGCAGTGGTCCTCCCCTCTCTTCCTGCCGCCGCCGCTGTGGCGCGGACGATCCGCGCCCGAATGATGACGTTTTTGATTTTCAGGACATGAACGAGCCGTCGAGCTCAGTCACCGGCTCCGTCACCGGATGTCACAGCAGCGACCCTTATGACTTTCCCGTTTACACACCAGGTAACCGGTCGCGCCGCCCCGTGATCCCCCCTCGCTCACGAGAGTTCTCTAGACTGGTCCCCCACCTTCGCCCCGGTGTAGCGTGAGCGATTGCATGAGCATTAAATGAGCTCATCTGACGTAGTCAGATGCAGCTTGTAGAATCGCATGATCATCCGTTCGTGCGTCCGTCCGTGCGTGCGTCAAAAGTTGGGCACAAATCTTAACCGAACGACGTATGGTCATGATATTCGGGACAGGGGGGGGGGGGGATCGTGAAAAGGAATCGGGATGAAAAATTGATGTGTAAACGGAAGGGGGAATATTTCCCCCTTAACTTAAGGTATAAAAGGAAATACGGTGTATAGTGTGATGGGCAGGAAACCCATCACCAGTGCGAAATTGGAGGTCATGGGTCAAAGGGCAGTGGGGGAAAGGTCAGATATCAGGCATTTTCTGAGGACATGGCCTCTCATTTGTGGAAGAACTCGTCGGTAGGCGTCGTGGAAGGCCTCGGCGGCTGTGCATTCAGACTCTCGTGATCGATGAATGAGCGTGATCAACAATAGTTCCTCTTCCAAGTCACCCTCCTCGATCAACCTCCCCCCACTCTCCTGGGTCACTCTCCCTACCCTCCTGGGTCGCCCTCCCTACCCTCCTGGCTCATCCTCCCTACCCCCCTGGGTCACCCTCCCTACCCTCCTGGGTCACCCTCCCTACCCTCGCATGGTTGCTCCCGTCACCTCGTGTAGTATGTTAACGCAGTGTTGTTGTCGTCACGTGTGTGTCGGGGATTTTGTGTGCAGGATGTGAACGAGCCAACGTCGCACGTTGGATCCGTGACCGGATGTAGCAATGACTCTAGATGGGACAATCCTCCCTACGTGCCAGGTGGGCGGGCGGGTCAGGATGTGAACGAGCCAACGTCGCACGTCGGATCCGTGACGGGATGTAGCAATGACTCTAGATGGGACAATCCTCCCTACGTGCCAGGTGGGCGGGCGGGTGCGTGGGCGCATACAGAATCATGATAGTGGGCGGTGGAGGTGGTTGGTACATTATGGTGGGGGCAGTGGAGGTGGTTGATACATTATGGTGGGGGCGGTTGGGGGTGGCTGGTACCTTATGGTGGGGTCGTGGGGGTGGCTGGTACCTTATGGTGGGGGCGGTTGGGGGGTGGCTGGATGGTTCCTTATGCATATGATTATGTCATTGCATGTTGTTGTTATCCACTCTCACATGACCCTTCCCTTCTTGTGACAGAATGACATGTTCCTGTGATTTCCTTTCCCTTTGCTTAGAACTTCTAACCGTTTGGAAATGCATTGCCCTTCGTGCATCTTAGCTGGCTTAGACATGAGTTACAGTAAGGTGCATGGGCATGTTTAGTTATTTCTAGTTATTAGTTCTACATATTTTACATTTTTTGTATGAAGAAACATTTACTTTCGTCCCCCATTTCAACCGAACTTTTCCCTAATAGGCTAATATCCTTATATATAGTTATTATGATTATGCTGTCCTTGTACATGTACCTCTCTTTGTACAATGTTACGATGTATCTGGCATAATGCGGTTGGCCCCTTCACGTATCTCACATCTCTCCTCTAATGCTTCGTTCATCAGAAGCATGGCTCATTAAAGCAGATTATGCAATTAATTAAATGCATTAATGCAGATTATGTACAGTAAACGTACGATCACGATGTACAATGTAAACGTACGATCACGATGCTCTATTGAAATATTGTGTCTTCTGATCGTGACCTTGACCTCTGTGTCTGTGCTTGCAGGAGTCACCGATGATTCACTGCAGGCAAGAACTCTCTGTCCGTCTGCCAAGCAATATGGCGGTCGTCACTATGACTTACACAGTCTTTATGGACTCATGGAGATGAAAGCCACATATAAGTACTACACGTTAATCCATTCATGTTCCACGCAGGAAATTCAGAATTCGTGCTTTTCGCATCATTGCTTATGGACGAAATTAAAAAATACTCGTTTTAATAAATTCTGGAAGTAAACGTGTTATCCTAATAATTTCCTAATAATAAATTTCTAACCCCAACACCAAACCCAACCCCAACCCCAACACCAACACCAAACCTAACACTAACACTAGAACCTTATCCTTAATTACAACCCCAACACCAAACAACCAACCCCATACACCAACCCCAACACCAACACCAAACCTTAACCTAACCCTACCCAGCCCCAACCCTAACCCTAACCCTCACATTTCGTTGACATAACGTACATGCGTATACGACCAATCGCAGTGAAATCTCTTCCATTAATTCTTGTTCCTGCGCGTGACGGCAGAGGCGGCAGCATCGAGTAAACAACGAGCATCCTTCGTTGCCAGAGCTTCTCGCTGAGCGTGAGCGTGTGTAAAACGACCTTATCATCTCCGCTCGACCTCCTACCAGTGCGGGCAAATATGGCGGCCACTGGCTCGGCAGACAAATGCAAGTGTGTGGAAACACATGTACTACTCCATCACAGGTCAGCTCCCCCTGTGGCAGTGCAGCGAATATCGCAGCGCGCGGCGATGATGATTAATACTAAATAGGCCGGAAATATCACGACTCGGACTAATATGATATTGAGCTCAATCATTCTACGAATGTTTCTGGCCAATGCCCCCTTGGATATGATATATATATATATATATATATATAATATATATATACATAATATATATACATAGATATATATATATCTATACATTATGTCACTCCAGCATTATACCATTGTGGGAATAGTCACTGACTATAAATCTTGCAGTTGAATGTATCTGGCATCGCTGAACTATGTAACTTGAAACGCTCAGCTAGCATAAAACTTTACGTGCACCCTAGCTTGTATACGTTATCAGAAACGCAGTGGCTATGCGTCCGGTCATCCATTACAAAGCTCAGCACAGATTCCCCTATCTACCTCACGATTAAGCGCCCGCTTTTCATAATTGATTGCCGTATGTCAAATCCGTTGATTTTACTGATTTACTATTACTTCAAAGTTACAAAAACACATTTTTGTGCATAAAATACCTAAAGGTAAGTAATATTATGTAAAAACCTATTGTTTATTGTTTTTACTGAAAAAATATAGTTGGGTTCACATAAGAATATATATGACCGGATGCCGTAGCCTGGGAGCTGGCGCGTCCGGTACCGGACGCGTAGACACAGCCTATAAGAAATGTCGAGGTGTTACAGAAAGTATGGTCCACTGTGGTATGTTTAAAAAGCTCGGGTGGACCCTAAAACCGGGAAGAACTAACAAAGTACTTTCCCTCTCATTTCAGGCATCCTCAGTTTCTCGATGTTTGGCTGCCGCTGATAGGTGCTGACATCTGTGGGTTTAATGGTAACACAACTAGAGCAGTTGCTGTCAGCGCTGGATGCAGCTTGGTGCTTTTCTACCCGTTCTCCCGCAATCACAATTCATTGCACATGAGCGTAAGCCAATCACGTATCTTTCCATGCAGTCGTCATCCAATAGCCAAAACTCGTTTATTTACAAAAGAATTTATTCTATCAATATGTGAATAAATATATTCAAACTTTACCTTGTTTTTGTCTCGGATTCTCCCTTAATCATATGACACCACCAGTTTACCTGAAAATCGTATGTGTTCTTCAAAAAAGTTCTTTGAATACGACACGGTTTCACACAGTTTTCCCAAACGTTTGCATCTTATCGGCCAGAGTTGATATAACGGCAGCAGCACCAGGTTGTAACTACGGGACGCTGGGGGCTGTTGGAGATATTAGGTAAGCATAGTAACAGCACTTGTTTTGCTTCCTTATCATCAAGAACACGATGGCAACACAGCTAAAATCAGCTGCTAGCTCGCCGTGAGCACAAATTTATTTTTAGCACGCTGGAAACGCATTACACACTGAATACAATTCGATGCCTAATATCTCCAGCAGCCCCCAGCGTCCCGTCAGAGACAATAGAACACTAATCTGATAACAAACATTGGTTGATAAGATGCAAACGTTTGGGAAAACTGTGTGAAACCGTGAACAATAACTTTTTTGAAGAACACATGATTTTCAGGTAAACTGGTGGTGTCATATGATTAAGGGAGGATCCGAGACGAAAACAATGTAAAGTTTGAATATATTTATTCACATATTAATAGAATAAATTCAAGTTAAAAACTACGCAAAACGCTGTTAAAACAGTGTCATACACTTCTCCCATTATGTACTCTTGATAATTATACACGCTATTTGTTTTTGTTCATTCCTGTTTGTTGTTATTGTTGTTGTTGTTGTTGTTGTTGTTGTTGTTTATTGTTGTTCCTGATTATACATGTACTTATATACATTGTATGCGTTATTGTTCAATACTACATTGTAACAGGGTTCCAATAGCAGTAACTAAGAGTACTCTCATGTGACAATAACAATACAAAACGGATCTGTCTGGTTTGTCGTCATTGTTCGGCGATCCGCTTGTGGCGTCGCGACGAATTCCCTCGGAATCGGAATTCTCGGTTTCCGTGACAACGTCGTTCTGCTGCTGCAGCCTCAGGATCCGGCGGTGTTTGGGGCGGCGATGCAGTCGTCGAGTCGTGCTGCCATGACGACGCGCTACCTGCTGCTGCCTTACCTCTACACGCAGTTCCACCACGCGCACAGCACAGGTCGCACTGTCGCTACACCACTGTTCTTCGCGTAAGTCACTGAACATTTCCTTCATAAAATTAGCAGAAGCCTATTTAGCAGAAGACTTATGTTATAATGATAGTTGTAAAAATAATAATAATGATAATACTAATAATTATAGTAATCACAATAAGTTAGCCACTGCGTTTCTGATAAGGTATAAAGCTAGGGGTGCACGTAAGTTTATGCTAGCTGAGCGTTTCAAGTTACATAGTTCACGATTGCCAGATACATTTCAACTGCCAACATTTATAGTCAGTGACTGATTCCCACAATGGTATATAGCTGGAGTGACATAATATAGATATATATATATATATATCTATGTATATATATAATGTATATATATTATGTATAATATATATATATATCATTATATATACATATCCAAGGGGGCATTGCCAGAAACATTCGTAGAACAATTCAGCTACAATATCATATTAGTCTGAGTCGTGATATTTCCGCCTATTTAGTATTAATCATCATCGCCGCGCTGCGATGATTCCTGTCACTGCCACCAGGGGGAGCTGACCTGTGATGGAGTAGTACATGTGTTTCCACACGCTCTGCATTGTCTCCGAGCCAGTGGGCCGCCATATTGCCCGCCACTGGGGGAAGGTCGAGCGGGAGATGATGAGAGGTCGTTTACCCCTCACGCTCACGAGAGCTCTGCAACGAAGGATGCTCGGTTGTTTACCGACGCTCGCTCTCGCCGTCACGCGCGAGGACAGAATCTAATGGAGAGATTTCACTCGGATTGCGTCGTATACGCAATTAACGTTATGTCACGATGTGAGGGTTAGGGTTAGGGTTGGGGCTGGGGTAGGGTTAGGTTTGGTGTTGGTGTTGGGGTTAGGTTAGGTTTGGTGTTGGGGTTGGGTTAGATTAGAATAAGGTTTAGTGTTGGTGTTGGGGGTTGTTGTTGGGTTGAATTAGGTTAGGTTTGATGTGGTGTTCGTGTTGGGGTTAGGGTTTGGAGTTAGGTTAGGTTTGGTGTTGTGGTTAGGGATTTATTCATTAGGAAATATTAGGATAACACGTTACTTCCATAATTTATTAATACGAGTATTTACTTTTATTTCAAATCATAAGCAAATGACGCGAAAAAACGAATTCTGAATTTCCTGCGTCGGAAAAAATAAATGAGGCGGGGGGGTTGGGTCGAAAATGAATGGATTAACGTGTAGTACTCATATATGGTGGCTTTTTCATCTCTGAGTCCATAAAACGACTGTGTTAAGTCATAGTGAACGTCCGCATATTGCTTGGCACGACGAGCAGAGAGTTTCTTGCGCTGCAGTGAATGCATCGGTGACTGCCTGCAGCACAGACACAGAGTCAAAGGTCACGGATCAGAAGACACAATGTGTTCAATAGATGGCATCGTGATCGCACGTTTACGGGATTGTACATCGTTATTTGTACGTTTTACATCTGTACAGTGCGTGATTGTAACGTTTACTGTAACATAATCTGAATAATGCATTTAATAATTGCTAATCTGCTTTAATGACGCCATGCTTCTGATGGACGAAGGCATTCTAGAGGAGAGATGTTGAGATACGTGAAGGGGCCAACCGCATAATGCGCAGATACATCGTAACATTCCTACAAAGAGAGGTACATGTACAAGGACAGCATAATCAATAGATAACTATATATAGAGGATATGTAGCCTTTAGGGAAAAGTTCGGTTGAAATGGGGGACGTCACACTTGAAGTGTAAGTAAATGTTTCTTTCATACAAAAAAATGTAAAAGTAATGTAGAACATCTAATAACTACAACATGCCCATGCACCTTACTGTAACTCTATGTTCTAAGCCAGCTAGATGCACGAAGGGCAATGCATTTCCAAACAGGTTAGAAGTTCTAAGCAAGGGAAAGGCAAATTCACAGAAATTCTGCCACAATAGTGAAGGGTGCATGTGAGAGTGGATAACAACAACATGCGATGACATCATCATATGCAAGTAAGGAAATCCAGCCCCCCCCCCACGACCCGCACATAAGGTACCACACCCCCAAACCGACCGCCACCATAAGGTACCGAGCCACCCCCCAACGCCCGCCACCCATAAGGTACCAGCCACGACCCACGCCCCCCAGCCTAAGTCGTACCATTCGCACACCCACGACTCGTCCACCATGAACGGTTACGAGCCACACGCCACGACCCCACCATTAGGTAGCCAGCCACACCCACGACCCCACCTTAAGGTACCAACACCGCCACCGCCCGCCCCATAAGGTACGCAACCGCACACCCAACGACCGCCACCTTTAAGGTACCCAAGCACCCCACCGCCCCACCATAATGTACAACGCACGCCGCACCGCCCCACCATAAAGGTAAGAGCACACGCCACGACCCCAACCATTAGGTAGCGCAGCCACACCCACGAACCCCACCTTAAGGTACCAACCACCCCCACCGCCCGTCCACCATAAGGTACAACCACCCCACGACCCCACTTAAGGTACCAACGCACCCCCACCGCCCCCACCGATAAGGTACCAACCACCCGACCGCCCCCACCATAAGGTTACCAACCACAACCCGACGACGCCCACATAAGGTAGCGCAGCCGCCCCAACGCCCCCACCATAATTGTTAAGCCAGGCACACCCACGACCCCACCTTAACGTACCCAGCGCACACCCACCGCCCCCCAGCCATAAGGTAGCCAACCACGAGACCCACCCGCCCCCACCATAAGGTACAGCCACCCCATCGACCCCAACCTTAAGGTACCACCACCGGCCACCGACCCCACCTTAAGGTACAACCACCCCACGCCCCCCACCATAAGGTACGGCAACCACCCCCACCAGCCCCACGCATAATGTACGCAACCCCCCTCACCGCCCACTATCATGATTCTGTATCATATGCCCGCCGGCCCGCCCGCCGCCCACCTGGACGTAGGGAGGATTGTCCCATCTAGAGTGCATTGCTAGCATGCCGGTCAGCGGATCTTTTCTTTACGCCGCTTCTTTTACGATTCTTGCTCCATCGGTTTGGCTGCGCAGCGGGAGAGCAGGTGGGTCTATACTACAGAGTGCTACTGAAAACTAATCCAATCACAGGCACAGCTGAGCGCAGTGAATCCAGCGTGTGTGCAGCTGCAGGCAAGCAGGTAGAAGCTATGCTGCTATACCTACATACAGGTATGCACCTATACATACAGGTATGCACCTATACCTACTCAGGTTACAACGACGGCTTTTATAACGACGTGAGTGAACGCGCACCGCGTTGTCATGATCTAGTTCGCAAAGTAATGCGCTTACACACACGCACATATATATATATATATATAATATTATATATGGCACTAATACTGATATATATATATGTATATATATATTACATGGCTACTTCTAAGGGGAAGCTTTTAGCTGTATGCAATGATTGACCTGTTCTTCTCGGGGATTAACGAGGGCGGCATACTGATGCGTGAGCCACGCACACGGACAGGAGGAGGCAGTGCTATAGTACTAAGTAGCGTCATTCCCTCCCTCCCGTCCATAAGCACGGCTGGCTGAAATAGCAGCAGGGCTTAAACACATCCATCACCCCAGCAACGTCAACGTGTTTATAAACCACGACTGCTGGGCCTGCCCTGAGCCAATTCTGTATAGTATATACACCTTAAGGTTAACGTCAGTTAAGGAATTTAACTCTGACTAACTTTTTATACTCTGAGTTAAGGAATTTAAAGGCTCTGAGTTAAGGAAATTTAAGCTCTGAGTTAAGGATTTCAACTCTGAGTTAAAGGAATTTAACGTCTGAGTTAAGGAAGTTTAACTCTGGGTTAAGCTTTTAACTCTTTAGTTAAGAATGTTCACTCTGAGTTAAGGAATTTAACTCGGAGTTACAGAGTTAATCACGACTGTGGAAAGCGGGTCCGGTCACGGCACAGTATGCTAACACAACATTATACTACTACACTGCATGTAATTCGTCAGTCAGAAAGGTAACGTCGAATTACCTTACTGGCTGTGTTACAGTCCATGTGTGTACGTGTGGGAACTTTTGAATGCAGTATTGCTCAGAAGAGAGCCAAAGAAATCATATGTAAAGACTAATTCACAATATAATAATATAATAATATAGTACTACCTATATATATATTATTATATTATTATTATATTATATAATTAATTATTATATATTTAATTATACAATACATATGTAAAACTTCAATTACAAATCATTACAAATAATAATTGGCGGCGTGAAGCACGGCGTAAACCAGAATCATTGATTGATTGGAATCTATAAAAGGATGACCCTATCTGCTTATCTCTAGATTTTTATTACCATACGGCAAACATACATGCGTGGCGTGCGGGCTGTATGGGCGTGCGTGCCGCGTGCGGTGGCAGCTTGTACATGCGTAGCAATGCGTACATGCGTGGCGTGCGCGGTGGTGGCGTGGCAGGTTGTACATGCGTACATGCGTGCGTGCGCGCGTGCGTGCAGGTTGTACATGCGTACATGCGTGGGCGTGGCGCGGCGTGCGTGGTGCAGGTTGTACATGCGTACATGCGTGCGTGCGCGCGTGCGTGCAGGTTGTACATGCGTACATGCGTGCGTGCGCGCGTGCGTGCAGGTTGTGCGTGCCATCAGGCGTGCGTGCGCGGCGTGCCAGGTTGTTACATACGTACATGCGTTGCGTCGCGCGGCGTGGCAGGTTTGTGCTGTGCGCGCGTGCGTGCAGGTTGTGCGTGCATACATGCGTGCGTGCGCGCGTGCGTGCAGGGTGGTGCGTGGCAAACATGCGGCGTGTCGCGCGTGCGTGGCAGGTTGTGCGGGCGTGCATACATTGAGTGCGTGGCAGGTTGTGCGTGCGTGGTGCGTGCGTTCGTGCAGCTTGTACGTACGCGAATTCCAGCGTGCGTATATGTGTGGCGTGCGTGCATGGGTGCGTGCGTGCAGGTTGCACGTGCGTATGTGCGTGCGTGCGTGCGTGCAGGTATGCACGTGCGTATGTATGTGCGTGC